CTGACATCATTGAGCTTCACCAGTCAGAAGAGGTACCTGATAGCAGATTTTCCCAATGCAATTTGTCTTTTGATTTCCTGGCTGCTGGTGCCAAGAGTGTTGGTTATAGAACCGAGCAAGCTGAAATTGTTAACAACCTCAATTTCTTCACCATTTATTATAGAGCTGCTAATAGTCTGAGAGGTGAGAATCCTTGTTTTCTTGATGTTGAGCTTCAAATTAGGACGATGTGAGTAAAAGTCCAAAGGGTGAAAGGAAGGGGAGCAGGGGGATTGAGGGGCTGAGGGTAGGAGCAGGGGAAATCATGAGGTCATCGAGTTTGTTGGGCTGAGGGTGGGGGTGAGAGGATTAGGACAGATCTAGTGGAGACTTGAAAAGATAGAGTGATAGTGGGCATAGATCAATGATGATTAATTTTATACAATAGTACATGACAGTGATCATATGAAATGCAATGTACATGAACAAAGCACAGTGTATATGGATTTTTTATGCAAACCAATTGCTGTTGTTGTTAGATACTGCCAAGTCACTTCGAACTCACAACACCCCTAGTACAACAGCCCTGAAACCTGCTCTGTCCTGTGCCAACTCTACTGTCTCTGACCCACATACCCCCATTACACAAGTCACTTTATCAATCCATCTCATAGATGGTCTCCTTCTCTTTCTCTGTCCCTCCACCATTCCAGATATGGTCCCTCTCCAAGGACTAGAAACATACCCAAAGTATGTCAGATGAAGCCTCACAATCCTTGCCTCCAAGGAGCAACCTGGTTTCATCCTCTCTAGGACAAACTTTTTTGTTCTCCTGGTAGTCCATGGTATATTCAACACTCTTCTCCAGAACCACAGTTCATCTGTAGTCCATCTTTCTGATACATAGCAAGCAATTGTGAAGACTATGGCCTGGATTAGCCACATCTCAGTCTCCAGACTGATGTTGTTGCTCTTCAGTTCTCTGTAGAGGTCCCTAACAGCCGAATTTCTCCAGTGCAGTTTGTCTCTTGATTTCCTGCCTGCTGTTACCAAGAGTGTTGATTGTGGAGCCAACCAAACTAAAGCTGTTAACAATCTCATCTCTTCACCATCTACCATAATGCTGCCAATTGACCCAGTAGTGAGAATCTTTGTTTTCTTGATGTTGAACATCAATCCATATTGAAGGTCGCAGTCCTTGATCCTCTGCAGCAAGCACTTCAGGTCCTCTTCAGTTTCAGCAAGCAAGGTTGTGTCATCTGCATAACATAGGTTGTTGATGAATCTTCCTCCAATGCTGATGCCACATTTCTCCTCATAGGGCCCAGCCTCACGGAAGATCTGTTCTGCATATAGATTGAAAAGATAAAGAGACAGAATACATCCCTGGTGTATACCCTTTTCGATTTTGAACCATGCAGTTTCTTGCTCTGTTCTGAAGACTGCCTCCTGGTTCAAGTATAGGTTTCACATAGGCACAATCAAATGTTTTGAGATTCCCATTCTTCTCAGAGTTAGTCACAGTTTGTTGTGATCCACACATCAAATGCCTTTGCATAGTCAATGAAACACAGGTAGTCATTCTTCTGGTATTCTCTGCTTTCAGCCAAGATCCATCTAACATTAGCTATAATATCCCTAGTACCATGGCCTCTTCTAAACCCAGCCTGCACATCTGGAAGTTCTCTGTTGATGTGTTGCTCCTGTCGTTTTTGGATAATTTTCAGCAGAATCTTGCTTGCATGTGATATTAATGATACTGTTCGATACTTTCCGCACTCTGATGGGTCACCTTTTTTTGGCATGGGAAAAAATATTGTTCTCTTCCAGTCAGTTAGTTGGCCAAGTGGTTGTCCTCCAGATTTCTTGGTACAACTTAGTGCATCCAGGACAGTGTTGTTTGTTGAGATCTGTCAATTGATATGCTATCAATTTCTGGAGCTTTACTTTTTGCCAATTCTTTCAGAGCAGCCTGAATTTCTTCCTTCATCACGACAGGCTCTTACTCATACACTGTTTCATAAATTTCTTCTGTATCAGCCAATTCCTTTTCGTATGGTGACTGTATACTCCTTCCATCTTCTTTTAATGCTTCTTGGATCACTTAATATTTTGCCCAAAGCATCTTTACGTATTGCAATTCAAGGCTTGAATGTATTTGTTCTTCAATTGCTTCAGCTTAAGAAATGCTGAGTGAGTTCAGCCCTTTTGAATTTCTGACTCTAGCTCTTATTTCATTATAAAATTTAAAAGAAATCCATTATTCTGAGGGGTTAAATGGCTTCTTATTAGCCATTGACTTTGATTTTTGTTACATGGTTGGCTTAACTCTACTCCACTCATTGACATCAAGTGAGAACCAACTAATACCTCATCCTCCAGAGGCTGTAAATAGTATGGGAGGTGACTGCCTATCTTCCTCTAGAAGAGCTGCTGGTGGATTTGAACTGCTAGAGGCACCACCTTTGAGTCAGCACTGCACCTCCTTACAGACTATGTGATCAGAGTCCTTACATGGCTGGGAATAATATAAATGAAGAATAATGTGAATATTTCCTTTTGGGTAGAAACATACAAATAGAATTTGTGGACCATTAATAAGTAGATTATTCGGATTTGCCACCCTGCCAGACTTAAATTGAGCAGGTTCAGAGGCAGAAAAAATCTGCTACCATGAAAAAAGAAGAGGCTGAGAGTGCAGTACATCAATTTTTGGACCAGAGCTTCCAGCACAAGGCTGACTGGGAGTGAGACCAGAGAAGTAGCCACAGCAGAGGTGATGGAGAAATGGACTGCTCTGAAACAAAGCTGAGCAAAGACTGCAGCCCATGCAGCCAGAGCCAAAGGCCTTTCCCTTGGCTTCCTGGAGGACTAGGGGGAGATGACAATTAAATTGGCAGAACTAAAAGGGCTGTGTAATCCTGGTCCAGAGCCATGAGACTGAAGGTCAGAGGGCCCATGAGCATGTCTGACAAACTGTCCTGCCTGAAGAATTATATCCTGCTTCTAACCTAAATTGTAACTTGTCAGTCCCCTATTAAGTGCTAGAATTTTATTGTCTGTGAGTTCTCTCCAGTCATTGCAATGGATTAGTGGACCCAGTAGTAGAGTAGGGAGAGTCCTGGGAAGGCCTGTTGGTAACAGAATTGACAGAAGTATAAGTGGGAGTTTGCGGGTATGTCAGGTCCCATGGCAATTCGTTTCAAGCTGTGGATACTGTTGATGGGGACCTTCCCCTCTTGGGAAGTTAGTGGAGGTCATAGTTGCTGTCATGTCAGCGGCAATTTTAAATAGATGTTACTTATAGAGTCTATGCTATTGCCTAGGGAACTCTGGTGGCCTAGTGGTAAGGAATTGCACTGCTGAGCCAAAGGCACACAGTTTGAATCCACAAGATACTCTGTGGGAGAACTCCGGTAATCTCTTCCTGTGTAATTTATTTACTGCCTCTGAAAACCCATTGGAGGATCAGCTATGAGAAGTTTCCAATTGGATGGCATACAACAACAACATGTTATTTGCATAGGGTTGCTATGAGTCTTAGTGAACTCAATGGCACCAAAGAGCAACAACATTCTATGTACAGACTGTGCTAGTTTTTAGTTTTAGCTAAAAGAAAATTTCTCAGCTACACTGTATATATGAACATATGCATATCTATTTAGTGATTAAAAGTGTATTTTTCTTAAAATATGTATGAATGACCCTAGATTCCATATATACGAGAAGCATAACTAACTAGAATTTAAGATCCATTCATAAGAATTTTAACAATAATCATCAAAATTTGAGGAAAAATATGACAACAAGAACTACTGGCAGCAGATTGGTAACAGTTAAGATGCCTGTACTTAGAATTCCTTTGAAGAAAATCAGCTGATAAATAACAAAATAATTTTATTCTACTCTGAATCTTTTGCCAATCATTTTATATATTTAGAAAAACAAATCCCAGAGTGCCATTTTAAACAGGCAATCTAGTCCTGCAAGAAAAGTTATACAATGAAAGATCGCAAACACACAAAAAAGATACTTCTGCATCTATTGTGCCCCAAAGAAGACATAATCTTTGTCCTGAATGAATCTACTCTAATGAGAAAGGCAAATGAGAAAATTAACAATTAGAATACAGGCTGGTAAGTGTAACATACAAAAAAAGTTGAGTGACTGAGGTTATCTTTGTAGGGACAGAAGAATGAAACCCTCACAGCAACCCTATAAACAACAGATTGAAACCTTACCCTACAGGCCTGAACTAACCTCACAATATCCTCTGTGTTTAAGCCCATTATTACAGTACTGTGTCAAATCCACTTTACTGAGGGTTTTCCTCTCTAGTGCCTCCTGATAACATGCCCAGAGTCTGAGAGATAACATTTCTCTAACATTATGTCTAAGGAGAACTCTGTATACACTTTCTCCAAGAAAGTTCTTTTGGTAGCTCAAGGCATATTCGATAATTTTTGCCTGTGTCTCAACCAAGCAACTCCTTGGATGTAAGGATTCTGGGACTTTGTCTGACATACTTTGGAGAGGGACATCATGCTTGGAAGGGTGGAGGGATGGCGCAAGAGGGGAAGACCCTCTATGAGATGGATTGATTCAGTGACTGGGGTAATCGGGATGGGTGTGTCAGAGGCAGTGCGATTGGCACAGGATAGAGCAGGGTTTAGGGCTGTTGTACATAGGGTCACTATGAGTCACAAATGACTCGATGGCACATAACAACAACAACAACAATTCTTCTTTGGTCCTCTTTATTCACTGTCTAACTTTCAGATGCATGGGAAGGAAATAATTGAAAAGACCATGGTTTGGGTCTGGTCCACCTTAGTCATTACAATGACATCCTTGCTCTTTAGCACTTTAAATAGGTCCCTGACAATATATTTACTTAATACAATACATCTTTTGATTCCTTGCCTGTTGCTTTCATGAAGAAGTATTATATTACTACATGAATACTGTTGGAGAGACAATGTTTATTTGACTCATAGAAAACAGAGATCTTTTGTTCTTACCTCCTCTGCATTTCCTCCTGATAGTATTGCTTTAGTTTTGTTTCATTTTCTACTGCTTCTTTAATTCTTTCCTCCAGTTCCTTCTTCCCCAAAATACAAGCATCTGTGTGACAAGTCTTTTGAGCATGTTCTAACTTCTGCTTCAGTTGCAAAATCTTGAATGAAAAATTATGACAAAATAAGGGTGTGACCTTTTCTCCAATTAGAGAAATAACTTATAAACATAAAGCATAATAGTTCTAAGATAGAAATCTGATTTATGTAAAGAATGTGACTAGATTCATCTTAATATTCAAAGAAATTAGTTAATTCTACAATATGGAATACATTCACCTCTTGCCTGACAGTTCGACTGTGGTGACCTGTAAGTTACTGTGGTACTGGAAGCTAAGCCACCAGTATTTCAGCAGAATCACTCATGGTGGACAGGTTTCAGTGACGTTACCAGACTAAGACAGACCAAGAAGCAGAATTTGCAGTCCACTTATGAAATAACAGGTCTTGAAAACCCTGTGAATTGCATTGGAACACTGCTCAGTGTAGTGTCGGAAGATGAGCCTTCAGGTTGGAAGGTATTCCAAATGAAAGTGAGACAGAGATGCCTCCTCCAAAGAGAGTCTACCTCCATGACCCTGGATGGTCGTGGCAATACAAGAGTGAGGAGAAATAACTGCAAACATCCACTAATACCTGGAATGTGAAGGTACCAAGTATGAATCCAGGAAAATAAGAAGTTGTAAACATGAAATGCAATTAGTAAAGTGTCCAGGGGTGGGGGATGGGGGTACTGTATAACAATGAAAGAACTTGTTTTCCAAAGAAGCGGGGTGGGGGGGACAGGGAGGAAAATGTGTAACAGTGAATGAATGGGAATCCAAGTTCTTTATAAACTTTCATTAAAATCTAAAAAAAGGGAAAAATTAAATGCAACACATGAAGATTGATATTCTTGGCATCAGTGAGCTTAGATGGACTGTACTGGTCACTCTGAATCAGATAATCATGTCAGAAATGACAAACTGAAGAATGGTATCACAATGGTGTTCCAACAGAGTGTGTTAATTATTGAACAATATCATTAATACCACATACAAGTAAAATCTTGCTAAAGATTATTAAAAAACAGCTGGAATAGTATGTGGACAGGGAACTGCCAGAAATATAAGCTGGATTTAGAGAGGCTGTGGAAAAAGGAATATCATTGCTGATTTCAGATGGATTTTAACTGAAAGCAGAGAATTCCAGAAGCATGTTTACTCATGTGTCTCACTGACTATATGAAAAGGCATTTGACTGTGAGGATCATAAATTATGGGTAACATTGAGAAGCAAGGGAAATTCAGAATACTTAATTGTGCTCATGAGAAGCCTGCACATTTACCAAGAAACAGTTATTCTAACAGAATAGGTCAACAATACCTGGTTTGAAATTAGGCAAAGTGTGCATCAGGGTTGTATTTTTGTCCATAGTCATTCAATCTGTATGCTGAGCAAATTAATTTGAGAGGCTAAACTATATGAAGAAGAATGTGACATCAGGATGGGAAGCATATTCAATAACAACCTGCATTATGCAGATGACAAAATTTGGATTGCTGAAAGTGAAGACTTGAGGCACTTACTGCAGAAGATCAAAGATTACAGCTCATGGGGATGGTGCAGAGCAGGGCAAGGCTCTGATCTGTTGTGGAGTGGGGGCACATCCCAACAACAACAACAACAACACTGAATAAAATCAGAGTGCCAAACAGCTATTTTTCTTAATAATGAACTAATTACAAATGCCACAAGACCATGTTCATATCAATAGTGCCGTTACCCCCCCCGGCTAGAGAACTTAGAAGGACATATCAGTGGAATCATACTGTGTTTTTGATTGTTTTTAAATTCATCATTATATTGAACTATGTATTATAATCAATACATACACCTGTAGTTCATGGATTTTCATTGTTATGTAAATACACAACTATTATTTACCTATTCTTTCATCAGTGGGCATTTGAGTTGTTTCTCATTTTATCAACTTGGAAGAATGCTACTGTGAGCAAACTTGTGTTTGGCTTCTGAATGCATAAACGCAGGAAGAGAATTTCTTCAGTGTTTACACCTAGTAGCAGGAGTGTTGTTTAATCTATATTTTTAGCTTACAGGGTTTCTAATAATTTAGTCTTCCAATTAAAGACTGTTCAAGAGTTTGTGTTTTACTAAATCAATTTTTAAAACCAGTTTGGACTATTACCTTTTCCTAGAATACTTATATACATATGTAAGTGCATGTGTCTTAAGTGTAAAATTCAATTTTGTCACCTTCCATACCAAGACAGAGAATGACTCTAACAGTACAGAAAGCTTCCCCTCAGTCGGTACACCTCAAAATGTAACCTCTATACTAAAATTATAGCTCAGTTTTTTTATGCTTCAATTTGACAGATAAGGAATCATTCAGCACAGCTCTTTCAGGCTGACCTCTTTTGCTTAAAACTGTTGTTATGTGCTTGAGTTTGAGTCAGAGTGTCTCTATGAACAACAGATCTAAATCCTGTCATATCTTGTGCCATCCTTATCATCTCTGAGATGCTTGAGCCCATTGCGGCAGTCACTGTGCCAATTTATCTAATTGAGGATATTCTTCTTTTTTGCTGAGCCTCCACCTTTCCAAGCACACAGTCTATCTCCAAGGAATAGCCCTTCGTAACAACATACCCGAAGTATGTGAGAAAAAGCTTTGCCATCCTTACCTCTAAGCAGTAATCTGGCAGCACTTCTTTAAGACATATCTGTTCTTTTGGCAGTCCAGGGAATATTCAGTACTCTGCTCCAACAGCACAACTCAAATATATCAATTATTTTTACATCATATTTCTTCATTGTCCAGCTCTCAGATGCAGAGCAGATTATCTGGAAAGATTGTGGCTTTACTCAGGTGCACCTTAGTCTTTTAACTGACATTATTGCTATTCAGGGCTTTGGAGAGGTCCCTGACAGCCGACTTTCCTAAAGCTATATGTCTTCTAATTACCTAACTGCTGGTACCAAGGGTGTTGATTGTGGATCTAAATAAGATGAAATGATAATTTCAATCTTTTCTCCATCTATAATGATGTCGCCCAGAGGTGAGGGACTTTCTTTTCTTGATGCTGAGATGTAATCCAAATTGAAAATTGTAGTCCTTGATTGTAGCAAGAACCCAAGTTTTCTTCACTTTCAGCAAGCAAGGTTGTGCCATCTTCATAACATGGATTGCTGATGAATCTTTCTCCAATCCTGATGCCATCTTCTTCACAAAATCCAACTTCTTGATGTAATTACTCAGGTTTCTATTATCTATTCTCTTGCTTTGTATATTTATAATTTTATAAAAACTTTTTTCTGTAAGGTTTGACTCTCAAACAAAGCTGCTGATAAAACTATGTTACTGCTGTCTAACTCCTTGTCAACTAGTGTAAGGGAACATAAAATGCAGGGACAATTTTCAAAATTGTTTATCTCACAATACAAATCTTTCTTTACAAAAATATATAAAATAAGAATGACTTAAATAGACTAATGAGAAGAAATAAAAGATAAAAACATAAAACAAAAGTGATATGGACCCAACCAGTTCTTTAAGGGTTAAGGTAAGAATTAAGCTCTTGCTTTAACTGGAGCTCTGGTGGCCTAGAGGATAGGGAGTTGTACTACTGACCCACAGGTGGGCAATATGAATCTACTAGCTGCTGCACAGGAGAAAGACAAACAATCTCTTCTCGTGTAATTTACAGCTTCTGAAAACTCTCTGCGGGTCAGTTATGAGTCAGTTGCAACTCAATAGCAATGAGGTTGTTTGGGTTTCTTTTTTGCTTTAATATGACTTACTCTTAAATTTATACATTGTAAAAAACATCAAGATTCACTGGAATTGTAGGAATAAATGAAGTCAAAAAGGAAAAAAGCATGGAAAGAATAAAGAAAAGACCTAGAATTCTATCAAGTTTATGTTACATCTACTTAAAATCCTTAGGAGAAATGGTATTTCAGTAAACATATCCAGTATGTTCTATTTGCGATGTTTAGGTTTATATGGGTATAATTACCTTTTCCTCTGCATCAGCAACTTTAGATTTCTCCTGATCCAGCTTTTCCTGTAGGCTGTTCTGCGATTTAATGCTCTGAGTCTGTTTAAGTATTTCCAACTCCAGTTCCTTGATTTTCTGCTGGCTGTGCTTCCACTCTGCTGTCAGAGAAGAACACATCTTTGCACTGTCTAATAACTTCTGCTGGGCCTGCTTTAGTTCAATTTTTATCTAGAAATGAAAAAGAAAACAAAACAAAACAAGTAAAAGTGAGAGAAATATGCATGAAATGAATGTAAGTGTGAGCCAGAAAAAAGTAGCTTTCACAGGCAGGGGCACAGTCCCCAACAGCTGAGTGCACGAACGCCATGGCACTGAGGCCTCTCTAGGGTTTCCCCTAAGTCAGGAAGACAGTCAGACAAAAGATGCTTTTGAACAGTTTTTATAAACATATGGTCTAAACATTTTCAATCTACTCTAGGCTGGCTTTCATCCCCATTACTCTGTTTCAATTGTGCTTGCCAACTGACTTCTCTGTTGCCCAAATACATCCAATGGGCAGCTGGCCTTTCTCAAGTGTTCATTCTTTCCATCTTAGAAAGTCCCCCTTTCTTGGAGTTTGTAATAATGAATTCTCCTGATATTTATTTACCTCTGTAAGTAAGTTCCACCTTCTGGGTCTTCTTTATAACCTCTAAAGCTACTCAACCTCTAAATATTATCAGATTAGTGGTATGGAGTTGCTTTGTCAACTCAAAGGCACGCACTTTGAATTCACCAGCTGCTCTGCAGGTGAAAGATGGGTAATCTCTCATGGAATTTATTGTCTCTGACAACCTGCTGGAGGGTCAGTCATGGGTTGATTCCAATTTGATGGTACATAATAACATCTTGAGTTTTGAAAACAGAATTCTCTCTAGATTTAGTTTCATTATTTTAGGTTCCATCTTTATGCCAGTAACTGCCAAAACAAAACTCTTTGAGTCTACCCAACCCTCTGATAGTTTTTATTAAATAATACCAAAACCTAAACTTCTGTTTTTGGTGGCCTAGAGGCAAGAAGCTGTGCTGCAATTCCACAGGCACACAGTTCGAATCCACCAGCTGTTTCGTGGGAGAAGGATGGGCAATCTCCTCCTGTGAGATCAACTGCTTCTGAAAACCCACTGGAGGGTCAGCTATGGGTTGGTTCTGACTTGACAGCACACAGCACAACAACAATAACACAAACTTCTGTTTAGCCCAGCAACTTAAAAAACAAAACAAAACTTATTGTTGTCCAGTTAGAGACAACTCATAGCTGACCTAGTAGAGGGTTTTCTGAGGTAATAATACATTGCCTGAGAGGAGACAGCCCATCTTTCTCTCTTACAGCTGATAGTGGATTTGCACTGACAGAGAGGAACTGCTTTTGGGTTAACAGTGCAACTCCTTATGGACTACACCACCAGAGCACCTTAGGGATCACATTAAAGAAAATTTACTTGTTTAATCTTTAACTTTGTTATTGTTGTTATATGCTCTTGAGTCAAAACTGACTCATAGCTTACCCTCAAAGAATTTTAAGAGGCTATAAATGGCATGGGAGGAGATTGTTGACGATTTTTTGATCATATTTTAAAAAATAGCTGAGATAGTATATGGACAGGGAATTGCCAGAAGTTCAAGCTAAATTCAGAAAAGGCTATGACACAATAATTATCATTGGTGATGTCAGGTGCATCATGGCTGAAATCTGAAAATGTCAGAGAGATCTTTGCTTGTGCTTTACTGATTATGCAAAGCTATTTGACTCTGTGAATAAAAAAATTATGGATAACATTGATAAGAATGGGAATCCAGGAATAATTACTTGTTCTCATGAAAACAGAACAGAGAAATATTGTATGGTTTAAAATTAGACAAGGCGTGTGTCCAGATTGTATCCTTTCTCCATACTTATTCAATCTGTATGTTCAGTAATAATTTAAGAAGCCAAATTATATGAAGAAGAGTGTGACATCAGTGCTGGAGAAAGACTCATCAACAACCTATGTTATGTAGATGATACAATGTATTTATTTATTTATTTTTGCTGAAAGTGAAGAGGACTTGAGCACTTACTGAAGAAGATCAAGGACTACAGCCTTCAATATGGATTACATCTTAACATCAAGGAAATGAAATTCCTCACAATTGGACAGATAGGCAACATCAAAATGGATACATAAAAGTTTAAAGTTGTCAATGATTTAATTTTACTTATATCCACAATCAATGTCTATGGTATAACAGCCATAAAGAAATCTAAAGATGTATTGCATTGGGCACATCTGCTATCAAGGATCTCTTTAAAAATGCTAAAGAACAAGAAGATCAGTTTAAACACTTAGGAATGCCTGACCCAACCCATGACATGTGAAAGTTGGATAATGAATCAAGAAGACCATAAAAGAATTGGTGTGTTTGAATTGTGTTAGCTAAGAGTATTGAATACCCCAGGGATTTCAAAAGAACAAACAAATCTGTCTTGGGGACAGTGAAACCAGAGTGCTCCATGGAGGCAAGGACGGTGAAATTTTCTCTCACAGACTTTGGGTATGTTGACAGGAGGAATCAGTTCTTGGAAAAAGACACCATCCTGGGAAAAGTAGAGAGTCAGTGAAAAAGAGGAAGCCTTTCAATGAGGTGGGTTGACAGAGCGACTACAACAATGGGTTTGAGCACAGCATAGATTGTGAGGATGGGTTAGGGCTAGGCTTTTGATCTGTGATTCATAAGGTAGCTATGAGTTGTGGTCAGCTTGATGAGACCCAACAACAACAACATGCAAATAAGATGTGTAAAAATGCTCAGTGGAGTTGAACCACTCGCCAATATAAGCAGCCATCTGTCTCACAGAGGTTAAAGCGAGGAAACCTCATTACCATCTAGAAGAAGAGTCAGAGACAGGGTGCTGCCTTTAGACCCAGAATCAGGAGACAGAGATATCTGTAACACTGGGGATGGTGCAAGTAACAAGAAACAGCATTAGCAGTTTCAGGAGACGGATAGGAGATGCTGCAGCGGGCTTCCTGGCCTGTGTAGTGAGTGGCTCTAGTGGACATGCCCACCCATGGATCTCAATAGAAAGCTGAGCACCTTTGGGCAGAAGACATGCAGGGTTGCCTATGGCCATTTTTTTTAAGCTCTTGCAGAGCTAAAAGAATTTTAATGCTTGTCCAAGCTGGCCAGAGACTGAGAAGTAGCCTGTCTTAAAATGCTCAGAGGGGTCTTATCCTGAGAGAAATGTGCATGGTCAAGAGAAGGCAGGCACAGTTGAAAGTGGATTTGTACAACCACAAGGAGGTCTGTCCTTGGGGGTCGTGCTCCGCTGAGACTTGGAGAAAGAGAGAGTACAAGGCCTACCCTAAAGAAAGAAGGGATGTGTTCTTCACTTTGAATGAGACTTCCAGGCCTTGCCTGTGTCCTTCTTCACATTAATTGTATTCTTGTTATTTCCAGATTAATCCTGACCCTGTGTGACTAATAAAACTCTATAATTGTGAGTTCTGTATAGCTATTGCAGTGCATTATTAATCCAAGCAGAGAAGTAGAAAGTGCTGTGGATCAGGTTTGGTAAAAGGTGGAGAGTGGAGGTTTGTCTAACTTTCACCGCATAGAAATCAGTTGGACTGATCCTAAAGATGATTTTCTTTTTCCCTAAAGTTAAGGTATAAAACTGCCACAAACACATTATAGGCCTTTCAGTAAAGAATGTGCCTACTAGAATTACCTTCATGCTTTCTTCCTGAAGTAAGCTGTTATGTTGTTTTAAGTCCAGGTTCTTTCCTCGTTCATATCGAAGCTCTTTTTCAGCTGAGTTAAACAGATTCTGAATCCGGTGCAAATTCTGGCGAAGTTGCTGTAGTTCTTCTTGCTGCTGGTGTCTTATTTTTTCTCCAGATGTTGCACACTTAAATAAACATATTTTAAAAGAGAGAAAGGACACTTTGAAAGTATTGGTAAAGTATGAGCTCAAGTGTTTGAAATCAGAATTGTCAGAATGTGCTTTTTTGGTTTGATTTAAATTACTTATTACTAGTCATGTTATTACATTTGTGGCTGGTTGCTTCTTGTTCATGTAATTAGATTTCTATTATTTTTAATAATATTTTAAAGTATTTATTAATACTTTTATTAGGAAATGCTTTCACCCTAAAATAAAGAAATAAAAAAATATAGATAAAAATTATCTTCATGGATCACATGAGCAAACCCATTTAAGACAATTGTTTTACGTATTTTTCACATCAATAAAAGTGAATCAAATAATGAGTATTTTCAGAATAAAAGAATCTTCAAATATGGAGTTCAAAGACTCAATAGATAAACAAGCCAAGTTACTATGTGTGTGGCTTGTGTGTTAACAAAAGGAAAGAAAATTTAGCCCGAGAACTAAAGTTTTTATCCATCCTCATCATTCTCATTTTATTACTGAGGATTCTTCTCCAGTACCACAGACTCTCCAATCATGTCTCCCCACTGCAATAATATGACTTTAACTATCAGGAAAATTTGCTGCAAAGAATGTCTGTAAAGATGTCACTTTACTCTTTAGCATTTTAAAGAGTAAAGGTGCTCCCAACCAAAGTCATGGTAATGTCAATTGCCTTATACACATGTGAGAGTTGGACAATACATTAAAGAAGATGGAAGAATTGAAGACTTTGAATTGTGGTGAGGAATACGGAATATACCAACACCTGTCAAAAGAACAAATAAATCTGTCTTGGAAGAAGTATAACCAGAATGTTCTGGGAGTTTCAAACCCACCACCAGATGCTCCACTGGAGAAGGAGGGGCAAGTATGATGCATAATAATCCTGAGTAATAGACCTTGACTCTGTCCTATCCTGTTCCATCCTCATCATCCCTATTATCTCTGCACACATGAGCCCATTGCTGCAGTCACTGTCAGTTCATCTCACTGAAGTTCTTCTTTTCTTTTGCTGACCTTTCCAAGCATGATGTCACTTTTCAAAAATAGCCTCTCTTAGCAACATGCCCTAAGTATGTGAGATGAAGCTTTGTAATTTTTTGCCTCCAAGAACCATTCTTGCTGCACTTTCTTCAAGACATTTCTGTTTGTTCTTTTGGCAGTCCATGAGATATTAAACATTCTTCTCCAACACTACAACTCAAAGGCAGCAATTATTTTGTCATCCTTATTCATTGTTAAGTTCTTAGATGCATAGCAAGTGATAAAAAAGACCATGGCCTGAATCAGGCAAACCTTAGTCTTCAAACTGACATAGTTGCTCTTCAGCATTTTTGAGATATCCCTAATAGCAGACTTGCCCAGTGCAATATGTCTCCTGGCCTCCTGACTGTTGGTACCAAGGGTGTTGATTGTTGATCTGAGTAAGATGAAATAATTGACAATTTAAATTCTTTATCCATCTATAATGATGTTGCCCATTGGCTCAGTGGTGAGGACCTTTGTTTTCTTGATGTTGAAGTTTAATCCATATTGAAGACTGTTGTCATTGATCTTCTGCAGCAAGCATTTTATAACCTCATCACTTTGAGCCAGCAAGGTTATGTCATCTGCATAATGTAGGTTGTTGAAGAGGTTTCCTTGGATCCTGATGCCACATTACTCTTCATAGAGTCCAGATTGTAAAATAATTTGCTCAGCAAACCGATTGGATAGGGATGGAGAAATACAACCTTGATGCATACCCCTCTCAATTTTAAACCATGCAGTGCCCTTGCCCCATCTGGACAACAGCTTATTGGTCTAGGTATAGATTTCACATGAGTATTATTAAGTGTTCTGAGATTCTCATTCTTCTAAAAGTTACCCATAGTTTGTTATGATCCACACAGTCAAATGCTTCAGCTCTGACTTATTTCTGTTCTTCAAACAACAAAGAACTCTCCAAGTTCTGTCTTGGTTTAGTCAGAAAGGCAATTTAAATCCAATTTTCTTGGCAAAAAAAGATACAAGTCTTTAAGATCTTTACAGAAAATTCTATAATGGAGTTGTAATTATTAAGAGAATAAGAGAATTTTAGCCTAAGAATTAGCTACAAGAGAATTTTCTGTCTATCTATCTATTCTCCCCCTGTCCCATCCCTCTCTCTCTCTAGCTAGCTTAGCTTAAGTGATATTGGAAAAGTTACTGTTTCTTTATGTTCCATTTTCCTTACCTCAAAATAGGAGTAATAATAACAGCTGAATGTAGTAAATGATAGGTAACATAACATATGTAAGAACTTTGTTCAAAATATGGCACATAATGTGCACTCTAATATTATCCATTAATACTTCTGCTACCTAACTTTTCTTCAGCTAATTTCTTCTATCTGTGACACTGATGTGTCACTTGCGATAATGGTTACCCATAGTGGACAGTGTTTGGGGAGCTCCCACATTAAAACAGGCTTGAAAGTAGGAGTGGCATCCATTTCTGAAACAACCTGCCTCCAGAAACTCTATGAACTTCAAGAAATGATGAAAGTTATATAAGTGTCCAGGTCTTTCTTCACAGCATCGCTATGAGTCATCTATGACCTGATGGCACTTAACAACAACAGCATCTGGAAACAAGTGTTCTCATAAAGTCCAGAACTCTTTGATAGCTATGCTTTTTTTTTTTAATTTGAGGGCTAACTCGATTTTATTGTGGGTACAGCACTATTTGAACTTTTAGTCAAATGTGGGCACTATTAAGGAGAGAACATTTATCATAGAAGTCATGGACACCCCACCCAAACTCTAGCCTCTGGGAGCCATCTTGGACACACACACAGCTTGTCAGGTGTGCCGCAACAGCTTTATTAGTGAGAAAGTGTGCTTCACTCACTTACGTGAGCCAAATAGGCCACCACCCACCTAAGGCTATAACGTGGTCCATTTCCTCCTTGTGCATGTTCACCCACATCTCCCCCTTTTTCTTTTATTACATCAGCCAACATTATAATTTTTTGTTCTTGCAAATGGATTCTTTGTTTGAGCCTTCTGATTATTAATACACTTATTAATACTGATATAATTAATACAGCCCATACTATTACATTATAGGGATTGACTACCCATTTAGCTAATGATAACACATGATTAGCAAAACTTTGCAAAAATCCAGGAGTGGGAGCATCAACACAAGTATTATTAACATCTACTCCTATTTCAGAAAGACGTACTAAATCAGAAGCAACTTTTAGATTGCAAGTAGTATGAATATGTACAGACAGATTAAAGCTACAGATCAATAACTTTAAAAGGGGTCAGGCAATACTGATAAATGGTCACACTGCAGGGGACACTAATTATTCATGTTAGAGTATATAGAACTTCGGCATGGAGATCAAGCTTTTGCTGAAGTGTCATAAGGCCTTGAGGAAGAAGTTCCAAGGTCAGCCCAGTCTGCATCATGCTCTGTGATGTAAGGGCTGAAAAGTTCTGCATGGCAGCGGCAGGAGCTGCTTGTCCTGTCAGTGTGACTGCAGCGGTTGTGGCAGTGGCTGGTTCGGGGTCTCACTGGCTGCATTGTTTTTAACTAACGCTGCTATCAGGAGGAGTACCATCATGGGTCCTATTAGAGGAGCCCTACTGGTATTCATAGATGTAGCCTGATCCACTAATGCTTTAAGCATTCCTCATGTTCCTGGCATGATTTTCTTCCTTGCTGGTCCCTGATTCCTCTGCCATTGCTTTTCTTGAAGACTCAGCTTCTGCATCTTCTCAGCGGGTGGGCTGGTATCTGATATTCCTAGCAGGTACCCAGACCAGGTGTGGTTTGTTCTTGTTGGTCACATTCATCTCTGTATAGAGCCATCCACTGAACATATAGCAGCCCAGACAACACTGCCTTCATCATGGCTTTCCAGTATCGAAATCCTTAAGTTTATGTCAGGTCCCTGTTTGCGCGCCAAATGCTGCTGTCTTCTGAGCTGCAATGAAGACAACAGCACGCTGACGAGGGTGGGTGCGAAGGATGAAAATTCCTCCAGGAGTGCATCAGAGCTACTCTTTTTTTGTGTGGTTGTAACTTTAAAAAAATTTTATTGTTAATTTCAATGAAAATTTACAGAGACTTTGGATTTCCATTCATTCATTGTTGCACTTTTCTCCCCTCCCAACCCTCCCCCCTGGTATACTACCCTCTTGGAAAAGTAAAAGAAAAATTATTTCATTGTTTTACAATCCCTCCCCTCCCTCGTCGGTCCACTCCACTATTCAGCCTTTGCTCTGGACTCCTGTCATGACAAAAATACCTAATAACATATCCCTCTTAAACAGTTTTCTCCCTCATCTGTTTCAGTGCAGTATACATTATTGAACCCATCTTTCTTATTCTCTCCCCAACCCTGAGGTCAGTCCTGTTTTACAACAGTGGCACCATGCAGTATTTGTCCTTTTGTGACTGTGATAGTTCACTCAGCATAATGTTCTCCAGGGTCACCCATTTTGAGTAATATTACATGAGTTCCTTGTTTTTCAATGCAGTATAGTATTCCATTGTGTGACTATACCACAGCTTCTCTATTCATTCATTTGTTGATGGGCACATAGGTTGTTTCCAACTCCTTGCTATTGTGAACAAAGCCACGATAAACATGGGTGTACATATATCTGCTTGGATGTCAATTATGGTTCCTTTGGGGTATATTCCCAGTAGTGGAATTGCTGGGCCAAATGGTATCTCTATTTGCAACTTTTTGAGAAAGCGCCATACCGCCTTCCACAGTGGTTGCAGCAGAGTTACTCTTAATTAACTTATACAACAACATTTAATAATTACTAGTCAGCCTCCTATATAGCTATTTAATATACTAAAGCAGAAATAAAATGAAATATTTCATTTGTACAGATGGAGAAAAGGCACAGCCTATTTTAGCTTGCTTTGAAGAGAAATGAGAAAATGGTAGTTTTTGCTTGTGCTTTCAGTCTAGTCACTTTTCCACAGTT